TGTGTGTGTGTGTGCGCGTGTGCATGTGTGTTAGCATTCCAGTCTATAGTCAAGGTTGACACCACTGGTCACATATATCTGAATCCATTTTACCTTTCCAGTTTTAGCTCATACTCCACCTCTCCCACCCACCACCTACTATGTGGGCTATTTGGGCATTCCCTATATATACTTTGTGTATCCCCATGTCTATGCCTTTGAAAATCTACCTAGTTGAGGGACTGGAGTGAACAGGAGGCTTACGTTGTCTAGGCCCAACTGGTAAACTCTCTTCCAGGAAGTTTCTCCAGAACTCTTTGGTAGAAATGATTCTCTTCCTTCCCTTTGCTCCCATTTGCACTTGAATTTCTCCTGGCACTGATCAAAGTCTGTAGGTGATTGCCTCCTCTGTTTATTCACTCTTGCCTTTAACAAATATTGTACCACTTGGCCGGGTTCTCCGCTAGACACCAGGACTTATTACGGTGTGAAGATAGTCCTTGTCCTCCAGTAGCTTAGTAGGAGGGGCAGACTTGCAGTAAGAATACCCTGAGATAATTGTTCAAATGGAGATTTGTCCAAGGGCTGGGGGAACATGGAGATTTCAGGGGAAGTTTCTCAGCTCTTTCAGTATTTGAGCTGAGACTTGAAGGATGATTTGGTATTTGCCTGATGGTGAACTAGGTAGGGGATGGGGAAGGGAAGAGTTTTCTGAGTAGAGAAAAACTTTGAAATACAGGAGGAAGGGAGAGACTAGTGTTCTCAGGGACCGTGTAGTAATATTACTGCTGCAGTGCCCAGGGGAAGGAGTGTCAGAAGGCAGGGAGTGGGCATCAGATTGTGTAATCTTACATGCTCTATGTGAAGGAGTTGACTTTTATCCTGTACATGTAGGGACCCCATTGAAACATTTGTCGAGGGAGTGACATGGTGTGATTTCCATGTTGGGGAGATTGCTCTTGCTAATGGGGAGGAGAGGCCAGAGTAGAGCGGGAATTAGAAAGATCCAACAGAAAGATCTGAAGATACAAGAAAGTGTTAAAGGGAAAAATTATGGAACAAGCCTCTGACGAGGCACGAAAAGAAAGGATTCTGAGCAAATAATTGGCTTAGCCTTGGATAAAGGGAGAAAGAGTTGTGAGGAAGAGTATGGAAACAAGGGTGCAGTCAGATGACTTTGTGAAGAAGCCAAAAACACTGAATTTATCTCCGGTAGTCTCAGCTTTCTGTAACTTGGGAGAGCAACTGAGGATAGTTTGCAGGAGCATCATCTGCACCCCAGTGTTTTCTCAGAGGGCACAGCAGCCCCAGGGCATGGATGGAGTCAGCTGATACTTGGATTACTGTGTGGGGTTTTGCCAGATGATTTGGGTTGGGGTGAAGGATCTGCACGTACCCTTTTCCTGGGTTGTGAATTCCTGATGGCTGTGACCATGTTGTAATTTAATCTTCCGTTTTGATGAGTGTGGTCTTGGATGTAGCAGGCATGTAAATACTGAATTTCATTTTGCCATGAATATTTCATTTTCCTACTAGGACAGTAATGATGACACTGAAGATGTTTCGCTGTTTGATGCGGAAGAGGAGACAACTAATAGACCAAAAAAATCCAAAATCAGGTATGAGGATAAGTTACACAAGTTGCATTAGTGTCCAGTGCTGTTCTATCCACAGACTGGTGCTGGCTGATGGGGTTCAAGGCAGATTGGTTGGGATGTGCTTGTGAATATTGTATGTACAAGGGTACTTCAAAAAGTTCATGGAAAAATAGAATTTAAACATAATACAAATCTTTCTATGAACTTTTTGAAGTACCTCATATATTACTAGTTTGTATTTAGTCTGAGACAAAGATGACATTTTAGATATTCTTAGAACTAATTGACATGTGGAATTTTTCTTAGTTCTGAGTTTTCAAATCAGCAAATCCAATTATTTGAATACCTGTGTTTTTAATTCCAGGCTAGCTACTGTTTTCCAAGACTGTACCATTTTTTTTTATACGGTAGATACATCACATCTTGGTTTATTTTGCAAATTTCAGAATTACATCTTTAGTATAAATAACATGAAAATATGAAGGCAAACGTATTTCTATTCCAAATTTAGTTCTCTTTAAAGAAATTTACTTAATGAAATCAGATTCTATCTGAACCTTGAAACATTATGCTAAGTGAAAGATACGAGTCACAAAAGATCACATACTGTGTGGTTTCATTTATATGAAATGTCCAGAATAATTAAGTCTATAGAGACAGAAAATAGTTGCCTAGGGATGGGAAATTGGGGGTAAATGGGGAATGACTGCCAGTGGGTGCAGTCTGTTTTGGGGATAACGAAGAGTTGTTAAATCGATTGTGGTGATGGTTGCACAACTCTGTGAATGTACTGAAACCCATTAAGTTGTATACTTTAAATAGGTGCATTGTATGGTATGTGAATTTTACCTTAATAAAACTTAAAAAAACAAAAAACAGAAAAATTCTACCTGATGGTGACTTTGTCTTAAGTTCTGAAGTGATTTCTGAGGGCCTAGGAATTCTTTTGGTATGATTTGAAAATAGGATTTAGATCCTAAGACTATAGTTTCCTCTTTCTCCAAGCTAGGTAAAGATTCTCATTATATATTTTGTGAAAGTTTATATCCAATGAGGTGTTAAAGTCCTGTTTACATAGTGTATTTTCTGTGACAACGGGGCCTAGTCAAATAGTAGGACTTAAGGAAAAAGAACAGTAGTTGATTTGCTTCTTCCAGTCATCTCTTTTATTTTGACAAAACTCTTTGTGGTTATGCCATGGCTAAAACATTTTTCATCTGTGTCTGCTAGTACCTGTAGTAAAATGTAATTGCATTTCTTTTATTATGTTTTGGTTTTCAGACATCCAGTGGCATCATTTTTCCATTTATTCTTTCGAGTCAGTGCAATTATAGTGTATCTTCTCTGTGAATTGCTCAGCAGCAGCTTTATTGCCTGCATGGTGACAATTATCTTGTTGTTGTCATGTGACTTTTGGGCAGTTAAGGTAGGTTTGATTGTTTTTATTTTAAAATTGTATAATGTGAGATTAAATGACATTTAAACAGTAAAAAAAATATGAGAGCATTTTGGATTGGTGTTAATTTATCTTTTTTATTATTTCTGGCTTCATCTGTGTTAAAGTGCTAGACATATTAGATCACTTGTAGGTTATTATATACCTAGTTGTCTGTGCCATATGTCAACCTACGTCAACTTTAAAATTAAATAAATAAACAAAAGTGACTAGTAGCCATAGACCCTACATCTTCCTTCTAATCCATACCACTGATTTTGCTTCAAAGTCGCCTCTGGGTATGCTGTGTATGATTTCTAGGTAAGGTCCCAGAACGGTTTATGTGCAAATACTTAAAAAATACCCACTTTTTGCAAAGGCTTCTGTGGGTGCTCTAGGGAAGTATTTCACAACCAGGGGCAAACTTGCCCCCATGGGACATTTGTAAATGACCGAAGACATTTTTGTTTGTCACAACTGGGGGTGGGGAGATTGTGATTGACATCTAGTGGGTAGAGGCCATGTATGCTGCTAAAAATCTTAAGATGCACAGGACAGTTCCCACATGACAAGGAATTATCTAACCCCAAGTGTCAGTTGTGTCAAAGTTGAAACCCTGCTGTAGCGGATAGAAAAGAGTATAAGAAATGGTTTCAGGGCCGGCCCCATGGCTCACTCGGGAGAGTACGGTGCTGGTAGTGCTGAGGCTGTGGGTTCAGATCCTATGTAGCGATGGCCGGTGCGCTCACTGGCTGAGCGTGGTGCAGACCACACCGTGCCGAGGGTTGCGATTCCCTTACCAGTCAAAAAAAAAAAAAATAGACCTCTGGCAGTTCTCAGTCTCCTTTGCCAGCTACTCTCTTTTTCTCATCCTTTAAATATTAGCATTTCTACAATATGAATTTTAGTCTTTACGGCTCTTCCATTTCTTCTCCTTCTGTATTCCTTTTCTAAGAAGTATTGTCTGTGCTTCTGATTTTGATTGCTGATCTGTAATTTGAGTTAACTCCCAAATCTATGTCTTCATCCAGTTCCAGACTTCCCTATCTGTCTTCTTGACATTTTTACTTGGTGTGATGGAGGCAGCTCAAACCCAGTATGTGTAAGACACTACTTGTCATCATCCGCCCCCAAAATACTCTTCTTCCATAACTGTTCTTTTTCACAGGGCCTGGAATCACTAATTTTTTTACTTGAGCAAACCAGAAATGTATGAGTTGCCCTCAAACCCAGTATGTGTAAGACACTACTTGTCATCATCCGCCCCCAAAATACTCTTCTTCCATAACTGTTCCTTTTCACAGGGCCTGGAATCACTAATTTTTTTACTTGAGCAAACCAGAAATGTATGAGTTGCCTCCTTCTTATCCCATATTCTGTTAATCACCAAGTCTCATAAATCCGTATATTTTACTTTCTTCTTTAGGGGTCTCTGTGCCTACTGTTCTATCTGGGATGCTCGTCTCGCTCCCACGTTACCTCAGTACAGGGATTCCTAATCTTTTTTGTGTCGTGGACCCCCTTCATAGTCTCATGAAGCTATGAATAATGTTTTTAGAGACAGATTACAAAGGAAGTCACTTATATTGAAATATAATTTAAAAATATTAAAGAGGTAAATTTCTGATTTAGTATTGTGTACTTCTTTATGAACACATTAATAGTAAGATCTAGCAGCAGGTCTAATAACTACAGACAGTCCCCAATTTAAACAGTGCTTTGACTTATGATTTTTTGACTTTACGATGAGTTTATTGGGGTATTAAATGCATTTTCAACTAACAACATTTTTCATTTGTAATGGGCTTCTTGGGACATAACCCCATTGTAAGCTGAGGAACATCTATCTGTACTTTCAGAGTAGTGATGATCATAAACAATATTTTGAGATATCTGCAACAAGTGTAGTACAAAATGAAAAATACCTGTGGTTTTTATTGTGACAGAGTCATGGGTACTGTCACTTCTGACCACATTCATGATTTATTGTCTACATTTGTAATTTAAAGATATGCTAAATTTCAACTGGAGGTTAATGAAAATAAAGATAATTTTTTTTCCTCATCCAAGTTCACAGAACCCCTGAATCTATTAATGGATACCACTAATTAAACATCCCTTGTATTATTGATTTCTACATATTCTTTAAATTTCATCCTAAATCTTGATTCTTCAGGTAGTCATTCTCAGATACCCAGACTACATCACATTTCCCTGTTACACAGCAGTTTTCACGGTTGGTAATGGTACATTTGTTCATTGGTTGACTGCCTCTCTTCCTCACAGCACTTGAAATTCTGTGGGGACGGGGGTAGTATCTGTTAGTAACCATTTATTACCAGCACATAGTAGGTGCTCAGTAAATATTTTTTGAGTAAATAAACATTAGAGAAGCTATCAAATTAATTCACTACATTAGTTAGCAGGAAAAAAGCTTGGTACATTTGAGGGATTGAATGAGGGTCAGGGTCTTTGACCATTTTTGGGGATATACAGTTGTAAAATTTATGTAGATGCAGTCAGGATATATGGGAAAATGTAGGTTGCAGTAGCCAAAGAGCAAGAGGCTGAGAAAGGACAAGTGTTCATGAGGGAGAAGAGTGGGGGTAATGTATATGGTTAGACTTATTTGCTTGGCTTGTCCCCTCCACCCCCGTTGGTCCTGCTGTTGCCATTTTACTACTTAATCCTTTAGCCAGGCCTGATACACAGCAGTCTTTAACTGGATATTATGGAGGTAAAGCTGGAGATTTTTGTTTGTAAAATGTTGCACTAAGATATGACCTTATGGTAGATCTTTAAATAATGGTTTTAAAATGGGTGTGCTTATGTTAATCTTTATCAGAATGTCACAGGTAGACTAATGGTTGGCCTACGTTGGTGGAATCATATTGATGAAGACGGAAAGAGCCACTGGGTGTTTGAGTCCAGGAAGGTAAACTGTTTTTTTTTAAAATAATATCATACAATAAATTATGTGTAGATTACATTTAAATATTTAAAGATGAAGTATTTGAGATTAAAAGCACTACCTCAGATTACTTAGCATGTCAGTACTAAACCAGATGTCCTTCTAAAACTTACTACATTCTTCTGTCTAGTTCAGACTGGAAACAAGGCATGTATAGGACAACATCCTCTGAGAGGACATTGGGTCAGAGTTTATACAGTGTGATAAGCTGCCTTTCAGGCGTTGCTGATAAAATATCTCTTTCTGATGGCCCCAGCTTTGTTGCCTTGCTGGGTATTTCCATGAAACCCTCTATGTCCAGCAGATAACTGCTTCTGAATCTTGTTCCGTCTTTGTTTCCAACTGGTCATCTTCCAGTTGTGGACAGAAAAAAGGAGGATTGCAACTAGATAGAAAATCTGAGCCCTGGGGGGACCTTTGTCTGTTACGGTGAACATTCAGTTTCCCTGTGGATATCAGTTTGGAAGGCAGGGGACAAAACTCTTAGAGACAGTACCAGTTAAGTTGGTTGTCTTCTGCTTGGGAGGGCCTTGACAAGGAATACTTCTCAGAAAGCAGCATTGTGCTCGGTGAGCCCGTATTCCCTAATATTATAAAGTTACCACTCTTATAAATTCCTGGGTGATTGTATTAGTTCATTTCTGTTGCTTATAACAAAATACCTGGAACTGGGTACTTTATAAGAAAACAAAATCTATTGCTTACAGTTTTGGAGACTGGGAAGGCCAAAGTCCAGGGAACACATTTGGTGAGGGTCTTTTTTGGTGGTGGCTTGATGACAGCAGTGCTGGGGTCTCACATGGCAGAAAATGGCAGAGCAGAGAGAGATACTTTCACGTGCTCTTCTTTTAAAGTCTTCAGAACGACACCCCTGACCACCATTATTAATCCATTTACTGGGGCATGGTCCTACAATCTAACTACCTCCTCAAGGCCCCACCTTTCAGCTACCACAATAAGATTTCCCACCCTCTTAACACTTTCACAGTGGGGACCAAGCCTCCAACACATTAAACTTTGGGGGGATGCAATTCAACCCATAGTAGTGCTATTGCTGAGACGTTTTGGTCATTGTTCAGAACCCCTTGATTCCATTCCTTTTTCTGGACCCCGACTCGACCTTTTAGTCTCCAGGATGACTATAACCTTGATATCCTTGATCTTCACCCAGAAAGTTATCATTCAAAGCTTCCTTATGAATAAACAGTGCAAGTGCAAGAAGAATTAATAGAAGCCTATCAGGGGCCGCTCTTTACTGTCTTGGGTATTTATAAACTGTCCATTCGGCCCTGAAAATGCAAAATTCTTGCCCAGAAAGTTATCATTCAAAGCTTCCTTATGAATAAACAGTGCAAGTGCAAGAAGAATTAATAGAAGCCTATCAGGGGCTGCTCTTTACTGTCTTGGGTATTTATAAACTGTCCATTCGGCCCTGAAAATGCAAAATTCTTGAATTACTAAAATCAGTTTCTAAAAGTACAATACTGGTAATGCCACTGTTTTGGGGGGTTCTAACTTAGGACTTGGGTTGTCTGTGTTAATGTTTGAATTTGAGGGTAATGTTTTTATTAAAAATGTTAGTTTTTACTGATAAATCTCACAACAGTGATGAGTCAATTTGTGTTCTTTTGTAGGCATCCTCTCAAGAGAATAAAAGTGTTTCAGAGGCTGAGTCTAGAATCTTTTGGCTAGGACTTGTTGCCTGTCCAGTGCTGTGGGTGATATTTGCCTTCAGTGCTCTCTTCTCCTTCAGAGTGAAGTGGTTGGTGAGTATCAGTGTAGAATTTTTGACTAGTCCATCACAATTTCAGATGAGTAGTCACCATAAGCAATCACCTATGCCCTCGGCATTAGAGACCTACTTGAATAGGCAGCTTCATCGTGTATTTCCCTAGTTCTGTTTCCCAGCTCTACTTTTTTCTAAGTACTGGAGAGCAGATCCTGTGGAAGACCCCATTTCACTGATTTTTTTGGGGTATTAGTGCCCGTAATAGAATGATCTGAAAATGTTGGTTGGTAACCTGTTCTAGTTATCTATTGCTGCATCACAAATCACCCCAAAACTTAGTGACTTAGAACAATAACAATCTCTTTATTATCTCACAGTTTTCTGTGGCTCAGGATCTTGGGAAGGGTTCTATTGGGAGATTCTGGCTTGGGGTCTTGAGTAGTTGTAGTCAGACAGTAGTTGGAGTGGCTGGGGGCAGCGAGACATCTCTTCTTCTTGAGGTCCCTGGCTGCCCCACATGTCTCTCCACATGGCTGAGTTTAGGTGGACTCCGGGAAGTCAGATTGCTTATGTGCATACTCAGGACTCCAGTTGAGATATTCCAGTTTGCAAGCTGAATTGCTTTTTACAGCCTAGTCTTAAGACATCACAGCATCACTTTTGCCACCCACCCACATTCAAGGGAATGGGAATCAGGCTCTGCCTCTTGATGGGGGAGTAAGAAGGTTCTAGAAGAGCATGTGGAATAGGAAATATTGTTGCTGACATCTTTGGAAAATGCATTCTGTTGCTTAACCCAAACTGAGTCTTGTCTTTTTAATAGTTAAGTTTATTCTATTTAGTATTTATTGATATCAGATATGTTTTGGCTTTAATTATGTTTTTTCCCCAATTTTGAGTATTTCCTTGTTCCTATTTTGCTGTATAGGTTCTCTTATTCTCTGTGTGTACACATACATGCATACTTTTCTTCTTGGGATTTGGAAGCTTTATTGTCTATTTTCAGTTCTTCTAGTAGCATCCTTATACTTTGTATGTTTGTATCATAATCCTCTTTCATGGATTAGGAAGTTTATTCGATATTAGTGGATTTCCTACCATGAAGGGGGAGAGTAACACTTGTGTGCTTTCTTCCACTTCTGCCTGCTCCTACTTCTGGACTTTTGTTTATTATAGTCTTATTTTAGTTCTTTTAGTAGTTTTCTTTATAACATTAAGTAACATACTTAAGCCTGTTTATTGACTTGAGACTATTTAGAAAAGGAAGAAAATGAACACTCATACTCCTTCCTATCTTTCTTTCTTTTTTGTTCATTCCAGTGTTATTTTTGTGTTGTCAAGTTTTATAATAATTACCTTTTTTTTTTTTTTTTTTTTTTTTTCCGTGTCCGGCAACGGGATCGCAACCCTCAGTGTTGCGCCCGCACCATGCTCAGCCAGTGACTGGGAACTGGTCTCCACATGGGATCCGAACCCTCGGCGGGAGCGCCGCCGCACTCCCAAGAGGCGCAATATTGTTGCTGACATCTTTGGAAAATGCATTCTGTTGCTTAACCCAAACTGAGTCTTGTCTTTTTAATAGTTAAGTTTATTCTATTTAGTATTTATTGATATCAGATATGTTTTGGCTTTAATTATGTTTTTTCCCCAATTTTGAGTATTTCCTTGTTCCTATTTTGCTGTATAGGTTCTCTTATTCTCTGTGTGTACACATACATGCATACTTTTCTTCTTGGGATTTGGAAGCTTTATTGTCTATTTTCAGTTCTTCTAGTAGCATCCTTATACTTTGTATGTTTGTATCATAATCCTCTTTCATGGATTAGGAAGTTTATTCGATATTAGTGGATTTCCTACCATGAAGGGGGAGAGTAACACTTGTGTGCTTTCTTCCACTTCTGCCTGCTCCTACTTCTGGACTTTTGTTTATTATAGTCTTATTTTAGTTCTTTTAGTAGTTTTCTTTATAACATTAAGTAACATACTTAAGCCTGTTTATTGACTTGAGACTATTTAGAAAAGGAAGAAAATGAACACTCATACTCCTTCCTATCTTTCTTTCTTTTTTGTTCATTCCAGTGTTATTTTTGTGTTGTCAAGTTTTATAATAATTACCTTTTTTTTTTTTTTTTTTTTTTTTCGGCGGGAGCGCTGCCGCGCTTCCCAAGCGGCACACTATAGCAGTGCGCCACTGGGCCGGCCCTGAAAAGATATTTCTGATTGGTTGTTCAGTCTTTGGTCTATTCTTTAAATACATCGATTTAGTGTCTACCACCAGGCCTTTATTGCAACTTTTCCTTTTACCTCTTGGTTGGCTACATTTCAGTGTTGTAAAGAACATGTAGGTGTTACTTTTCTTTACCTCTTTCATGTTTAAGAATATGGGCTTATTGACTATTCTTGAATGATGACTTGGCCTTATTAGTAATCTTGGGTAACAGTTTCTTTTTGGAAGACATCACTCCATCTTTTTCTTATACTGAATATTTTGGAGAAGTCTGAGGCCAGGCTTAATTTAACCTTCATGTAAGTAAGTGAATAATTTTTCGCTCTAAGGAATTTTTTTTCTTTGTTCCTGACGTTTTAAAATATCATAACCAGGATGTGTCTATATTTATCTTTCATTTTTTTTTTTTTTAAAGATGACTGGTAAGGGGATCTTAACCCTTGACTTGGTGCTGTCAGCACCACGCTCTCCCAAGTGAGCTAACCAGCGATCCCTATGTAGGGACCCAAACCCTTGGCCTTGGTGTTATTAGCACCACATTCTCCCAAGTGAGCCATGGGCTGGCCCTTACATTTATCTTTCTATATTGAGTTTTCTGGAAGTCATGTGCCCTTCTGACATGCAGGCTTAAGTTTTGCTTTGAATCAGGAAAATTGTCTTCTATTAAGTTTCTACATTTGTCTATGTTCTGTTTTTTTGACATCTCTAATTTTGAGGTACCAGTTATATCTGCACTGGATCATTTTAATCAGTTCTCATCTACTGTGTTCTAGTTGCTTCAATCTTTCATCATTTTCTTTTGTACTTATTTATTTAGCAAGTATTTTTAAGAGTTCCCCACGTGTTATAGCTGTTCTGGGTGCTGGGGTATAGTTAGGGGCCAGATAAACAAGAACGCTGCTCCAATAGAGCTTCTGTTCTAGTGGAGGGTAGACAGATGATAAGGAATATAGTAGGGGGTGTTAGAGAGGTGATGGTACAAGGCAGTGGGGTCAGCGAAGGCTTCTCTGTGTTCTTTAGCTCTGCCAGCTCCATATCCATCTCCTGTTGTCTTATCATACCTTCATGCTCTGTGAATTCTCATCTTTAGATTCTTCTATAGGGTGAAGTATTCCTAGGAATGCTTCTACTTTGATGGATTATATTTCTTTCAGAAGAGATTCTTCACCCATGTTTTGCATACTGTATTTCTTTCTTACTATTTTTGCTATAATTTTGCGCAGATCCCTGTCCTTTTTTCCTTATCCATTTTGCTTACAGCGGCAGCTTTGTCTAGACCTCTTCTTTCTGCTGGTTTAGCGTGGGTGAATTCTCTTTGATTGCCTTCCCAGGTTGTGTGAGGCATGTGGCCGCTGTTCCTAGCTAGTATTTGAATGCTGTGTTTGGGGCCTGGAGATGCAGGTGTGAGGAGGAGAACTCAGCCAGGCTCTGGGCTGCCTTGGCTGGCTTGTCTGGGTTTGTCCTTTTCTTACGTAGTGGAGCTCTTGTCTCCTGGCTGGCTGTATACTCTATTCTGGTTCTACCCTCCTGTGTTACATCGTTTGTAAGACCCAGGAGCCGTAGCATACATCCATCCAGGAGAATCAGCCCAGTCTTTCTCTAGCAGTGTTTCTACTTCCCTGAAACAGGACAGGGAAAGATTATGTGAAAGACAGTTTGGTCCTATGTTAAGACCATAGGACAGGAAGGGGGCTTCCCCCATGCTCTCCATGAGCCTCCAGTAACCTCGCTTCTTTATTAAAGATGATCGGCTCTCATTCATGATTGTCAGTCCTCCTGCACTTCCTCTCTTGTCTTCTTCCCACCAGGGAGGCACCACCATGGCAGAGCTGCAGGGATTTTCCTACCTCCTTGGGTTATTGTTGGTTGGGAAGAGTCTCTGCTGTTGTGGCTATTTCTGCAATTTTTTTCTTAGGGCTGTCTCTGTCTTCTGGCCTTTTCCTTCTCTCTAAGTTGTTGGGAGGTAATTAGTGAAATTTCCCTGAGACCTTCTTTGGAGAGTTAGGAGCTGTGTAGAGCTGCACCAAGCGGGTTCTTTCTCTGACCAGCAGCCTTTTTTTATATTTATTCATACTGGCTTATTTGCTTTTTTTTCTTTTTTTTTTTTTTAAAAACCTATTTTCTGTCTCTATCTTAAGGGGAGGGAGATCTTTATGTCTGACTTCACCACACCATTTTAAACCAGACGTCTGCTTGTTTTAACTTAGAAGTTCATTTAAAAATGTGTTGCCATTGAGTAAAGTTTATGCTGCTCAGTGAACTCAGGTGCCCCTGGTGTGTTGGTACATACATACCCAGGAGCACCCCAGTTTGAGAAGAATGGGAAGTTAAAGGAGATTTATTTAAATACAAATATAGTTTTATGTTTATTTAGGTAACTAGCAACCTTGTATAATACTAATGTGTTTATTTCCATGAAACGTAAGTTTAGGACAGAAAGTACCAGCTCCACTTCTTTTGCTAGGAATTTGAACCTGTTCCTTAATTAAACATTTAAATCCTCTGACTTGGTTAAAATTGGCTGTACAGCTTATTAAGGACTAAGGAGAATAAGTTTGGATTGGAAAAAGACATTCTTAGTATAGCTGCTTTGCTTTTCACAGATGTAAATATCTTCTGGCTAACACTTTCAGTAGTAGAAGAGTTGATGAGCTGTTTATTCTAGAACAGGGGTTGGCAAACTATGGCCTGCAGGGCAAATCCAGCCCGACACCTGTTTGTTATAATTTTTATTGGAACACAGCCATGTCCATTTATTTATATATCGTCTGTGGCTGCTTTGGGGCTAGAATGGCAGAGTTGAGTAGTTGCAACAGAGACCATATGGCCCACAAAGTCTAAAATATTTATCTGGCCATTTATAGAAAAACTTTGCCAATCTCTGTTCTAGAATATTGAAACTTGGGGCCTCCTAACATTGTCCTAATTAATTTTTCTTCCGTAATATTTAAGGTGTGGGCTTGAGTTTCTAGTGGGGTCACATATAGGATCCCCATTGGGGCCACAAGAAATAAACAGCTCTGCAAAAGTGTGGTTCCTCCTGGTATTCATCTCCCTCCCCACCCAAGGCAGACACCTGTTGATTTCTGCCTTGGGGCACTGAGTTGCCTTTTCCAGAAGCCAGTGGTCACATGCATTAGCATAGAGCAGGGATTCACCTCTGCCTCCTCTCAGTTTGTTGAACTTGATCCACTTTTTGACTGATCTTTTGTGATTCTTAAAGGAATAATAAACATGAGTCTTATCTGAGTCTCATTTACTTTTCCTTATAGACCTATGGGAAACATTAGAGAGAGAAAGCTCCCCCTTCCAGGGACTAGCATGATGCCTGACATATGTAGCAATTGTGTTTAAATAAATATTTGTTGGGTGAATGACTCAGTGCCTTGTAAGAACGCACATCAGATAGGTCTCTTCCGGCAAGTTAAGGAGTGTCATTGTCACAACCCTGGCCTTGCACTCATGACAGTCTTCCTATCCCATTTATGGCATAGAGAAAGGTCAATTTTAGACTGGTAACCATTGATTATTTTTCTCCTTGTTCTAGGCAGTGGTTATCATGGGTGTGGTGCTACAAGGTGCCAACCTATATGGTTACATCAGATGTAAAGTGGGCAGCAGAAAGAATTTAACCAGCTTGGCTACCTCGTATCTTGGAAAGCAGTTTTTAAGACAAGTAAGTGTTTTATGGATGTGATCAGTGAGATTAAAGACTAATGCAGTGATATCTAACTCTTGTAGAATTTAATTTTTATGAAATTATTATTCTTAACAGAAGTTGTGTTAAGACGTGGTTACTTCAATATGGGATGGTGGTATCGATGTTTTAATTGCTCTTTGGAAGCTTTTAGGACATTCCAGAAACATATTGTCAGTTGCTTTCCATTAGTTCTGGTGGCTTTAAACGAATGTTCCTGAAGAATGCATATTCTGTGGTTTTCGGGTTTATAGCAAGAACAAGTTTTGAAACATAAGAAAGATTATTTTAAAGTACTCATGTTTCCCCCCCCCCAGAATAGAAAGGTTTACTACAGTTCCCCAATATGAGGGTTTAAATCAGGGGTTTCTGTGGGATAAGTAGGTAGTCATAGGTAAATAGTTACTGGTTAGATCTCTTGGGAAAATTGACTAGGTCTTAATATGAGTAACATCTCACATTTGTTTAGCGCAGTAGGCTGAACAGGTAGTGTTATATAGAACAATGGTTCTCAAACTTGAACATTCATCAGACTCACCTAGAGGGCACAAGATTGCTGGGCTCCACCCACACACCACCCCATCCCCAGGTTTCTTATTCATGGGGGTGAGGTCTCATAATCAGCATTTCTAACAAGTTTCTGGGTGGTGCTGATACACTGGTTCAAGGATTATACTTTAGATTGCTAAAGCCCTGAGATGTTAAGTGACTTACTAAAAAATGTTTTGGTCAACCAAGGACCGTATATATAGAACGGTGGTTGGAGCAGTAGGCTCGGTGTGTAGTAGCCTATACCATCTAGGTTTGTGTATGTGCACTCTAATGTTCATTTGGTATTTGAAGTTAAATAACATTGATTATTAAGGATTTTTTTCTCTTTTGTAGAACACTGGAGAAGATCAGAGTTCCTGAATAGAGAGGAAGCTTATATGTTCTGTTACATTGGGGAATAACCGAAGAGATTCTTGGCCCTGAACATTTTAGAGCTCAGTCCATGTTGCAAAGAGGAGTCTTGGGTTTGTTTTTCCACTAAAGAATTTTGTTTAAAAAAAGAAAAAGTAGTTTTCATATTAAGTTTTTATTTTCTTTCTGGCAATTGGGGCTAGAAAGTATGGTGTCACTAGAAACATTGTCAAAATTTATTTTATGGTGGGCATATATATGCACATAGTCATGTAATATCAGTATATCCGAAATTAATGAAACTTTTGTGTTCATTTACATATGTAACGGAGATCTTTGCATTTTGTCCGTAGAACATAGGAGGATGTTCTTAGTCTGTCTCAAAACTCTATGTGTTTACATATTATTTCTGTAGATTAATTTTCAAAAGTAAGTTTTGCATCCATGGTGAGAATGAGCACTTTGGCTAATGTATAAGTTAGAAATAATTGTTAGTTTTAATACGTGGTGTAATTTTTTTTCTTAGACATAGACAAGCAAGTAAAAACCAAATATGAGCCAGTGGTGTTAACTAGTTTCTAAATTACTGTTTTTTTTTTTTTTATTTGTAACAAGTCATTTACTTAAGTCCCAATTACTATAAAAGGAATCATCATAGTTTCTGTTTAAGGGATACCCAGAGATTGCTGTGGTTCTGTTTGTTTTATGGAAAGGATAGCCAGATTTTACTTTGGAACTTTCTGGAAGCTTCTCAGTGGTCCTTGGGCTAATAAAATCTATCTTTTACCACTAAAAGAGTATTATTCTTATGTCATAATAAGAATAATCATTTAAATAGTTGGCATAATAAATGCCTGAAAGACATTTTATTTAATGAATCTATTTTTTTCTTTTTGCTATAAGGGGGGTATTGTAAATCATGAATTTGTATTAATGATCTTTCTTCAAACAAAGCAATATATGTAACTAAACTAAACCAGTCTGTAGACAATTGAAAGCATCTGTAAATTCTGTTGTAGTTACTGTAAACTTTGTTGGAATCTTTTAATCAGCAGATTATCTTATGAGTATATTTATACATTGTTAAAATTTTTATAGATGTTTTGTTTCATTGAATAAGTATCTTTACTGGAGTGATAGCTGTGAAGGTGCATAACTTTATATTTGTATAAAAATCTACTGTTTACAAAGCATTTGACATGTGTAATGTCATTTAACCCTTATGACAAATATGTGATACCTTAGGTGATGAAACTGAACTTCAGGTTATTGAGTGACTTGCCCAGGGAAACACAGATGACAGGAATATGTGTAGGATATAAAACAGGATATCTAAAACATCAGCCCTTCTCATCTGTGGTTCTGCATCAGTGGATTCAACCAACCACAGATCGAAAATATCTGAAAAAACAAAACCAAAATGCAACAATAAAAAAAAAGACTAATTAAGTAAAACAACACAGTATAACAACTATTTACATAGCGTGTACATTGTATTAGGTATAATAAGTAATCTAGAGATGATTTAAAGGATATGGGAGGATGTGCATAGGTTATATGCAAATACTATGCCATTTTATATAAGGAACTTGAGCATCCACGGATTTTGGTATTCACAGAAGGACCTGGAACCAGTTCCCCACAGATAATGAAGGAAGACTGTATTACTGTTGTTAGAGGAAATATTTGTCTATAAATGTCTTTTCCTTTCTTGGGATCATTAATTTATTAAATACTTGTTTGCCATTTTATATTCAGCTATTCCATCTGTTGAGAAAAGTTGATGCTGCATTAAAAACATGTTTTTATTTAATCTGAAATACCTAGCCTAAATCTTTAGGGTTGAGCGTCTATCAAGGGGTGCATTGGTATAGTTCTTGAGGTGGCTGTTATTTTTTTTTTTTTTTTTTTGTCTTTTTTCCGTGTCTGGCAACGGATC